AAAAAAAAAAAAAAAAAAAAAAAAAAAAAAAAGAACAATGGTTCCTTTTGGGGAGAAGCAGTGACTGGTAGGAAGAACAAGGGGACCTTCTGGGGATCTTATAATGCTCTGTTTCTTAACCTGGAGGCTGGTTACATGAGTGTTCCAGTTTGTGAAAGGTCATGAGCTGTACAGTTAAGGTCTGTGTACTTTTCTCTGTTATACTTTATATATATGTATATATGCATATACATATGTGTGTATATATATATTTTATCATTTTATTAAAAATTTCTTAATGTCCCACTCTGTTCACAGTAAAATAAAGAATATTTAAAGGACTGTTAATGAAAAACTACTCTGAGTTTTCAGAAGCACAGACAAGAGGAAATTGTACTTTTGGTGTATCCTGGGATTCTTGTTGTCAGTCAAATGCTGTGATTGACATGTGCAATCTTCCCTTTCCTCCACCCCACCCTTCATATCAGTAAAAGATCCCAAAAAGATTAGGGGTAGAAATTACATAAGTTAATAAGAGAATCCAACAAATTTCATTTTACAAATGAAAATACTGTACACGTTGGTTCTTTCAAAAGCTAGGCAGAATCCCAAGAAAATTTGGAGTACTGGATGGTCTCATATTCGTTGCTAAACCCTGGCCTCTAATCTTGGATCTCCAACCACTAGAGCGTGGCAGGCCAGGGTTAATTCCATTTATCTGCGATCACCAATTCTTCACGGAGAGGGATAATAGCCTTCCTCTCTTCCCCACAGGAAGAATATGTGAATTAGGTAGCATGAAAAAAGCACAAAGCACTGTACAAATGCAGGAACCACAATTTTGGAAGAAACTGCACATGACCTTCCATTCTCAAAAATCTTATTTTTCAGATGCTTTTAACACATATGAAGTACCAGCCACCAAAATATAAAAAATAAAAAATAAACACATATGAAAACACTGGCAAGCCAACAATGTACACTTTTATGCATAAGCTATTTTTTAATAAAAATGATTTTAAAAGAATAAGGTAATAGTGAAAGCTCAAAATGTACTTTACCCTGAACTGATTTTTACCTCTACAGCTAAGTTTTCTTGAGCAGTCAAGGAGTAAAAATATTCATAGTCTGGAGTTAAAAATTCATCTGTTACATCCTCAGAAGACTCTGATGAACAAGTTGATTGCACCGACTGATCCTATTAATAATGTAGGAAATCACTTTTAAGTTGCTGTTCATTGTAAACAAATCCTTTTATAGCTGAATGTATTGTTAATAACGGGGTTATCCAGAATTGCCCAGAAGTCAGTGTGACGATCTGAACTGGCTCTCCCTGCCTGTCTGTGCATGTGCCTCTGCCTTCCTCCCTTGTGGGGAAAAGCAGCTGTGAACTGCCTGGAGTCAGTGTATTGGAATGACAATCCTGAGTCTCAGCATCCTGGGAGAATGGGTGGGGATCAGGAGACCTTTCTGCTCTACGAGTCTATGTAAGAACAAAAGCCCTACACAACTCAAGCTGGGGATCGAATATAAACACCACTCAAGGACCCAGACATAGCCCATGGATTGGCATCATCCCACAGATGAGGCTGAAGCTGCCCAAAACTTGGGAGTCCCTCTGGTAGTACAGTTAAAGGCAAGTGAAGGAGCATAATTTTTAAAATAGCAATGCAATCTCAACAATATAATTAAGATATTGTAAGTTATTTCTTCAGCATCTCTGCTCCACCTCTTCTTTTTCTGTTTATTATGCTACCTTCAGGCCCTAATTAACACATGTCCAGACAACTGAGTCTTCTCTCTACCGTCCCCCTGCAGAGACTTTGTGGCTTACTTCTTTGGACAGTGCTTTTGCCACACACTTCCCTCCCTGTGCACTTAACAGCTGCTCCCCTTCACCTCTCATATCAAACTGAAATTTCTCAGACAAGCACAGCCTCCCCTCACCTTCCCCACTTCCCTGACTAGACCTGCTTCTCCAGCCAAGCCAATGTGCTTAATGTGGCCTGTCCTTCCAGCCCTCACATGAGAGAAAGAATACACTTTCCTTATAAGTACTTTGTATGCCATGAATAAACACAATACTATTTTTTTAAATCACTATTCTATCCTTATCTTACATGAGTATTGTGTTATTCTCAATTGCTGTCTATATTCTTTAAATGACTGTGGCCCCATGTCAATGACAATAAAAAAAAATTTTGGTTCCTTAGTCTGGCTGGACTGCGGCCCAGAATGTGTTAAACCCCTGAAGCAAGGCTGTAACTACAATGCAAACGGTAGGAAATGATTAGACCTCATGGATCCTGCTGAGGCATAGCTGTCAGGCACAAACACATTCCTTCCATTGAGTTAAGAGCTGAATTTGGATCTTAGAGGATATTCCAGGTGAAGGCACTGTCTCCACAGCCCTAGCCCTGCTTTTCCAATCTTACCTCAGTCACCTGCTAAGCCATGAGGTTGGTCTTGTCTACCCAACTAAACAGGAAGCCCAATGGCCAGAGCTGAATGTGACACTCGTCTTTGTTTTCCCCAAACTCCAAGACACAAAATATGTTGAGTTAAACTGACTCAAAAATTATCAGGCAGGGAGGAAAGACTACTTTATTCACGTCAGTGGCATGAGGATACATGCTCCAACCAAAAAGAACTACTATAGATATTATTTTGGTGTCATAATACATAATGACAATGCAGTTCTACTTTATTCGACCCTTGGGTTCAACTCGGCTCTCCAGAGCACATTACTTACGCTGCAAAATTTCTCAGTGACCACAGATGCATCAGAACTTGCTTGAAAGGCTTCACTATGCTCTGGCTGCTCATTTTTTCTGGGGGCCAGGTGCCTGATACCTAATAATTACAAAACAATCAGGGCCAAAGTCACTCAATGATATTCAGATAGCATGGAAAGGGCAAAAGATAATGTGAGAGAAGAGATGTGTGTGTATTCTGCCAGAAGTGGCCATGCCCCACGTTAGGTTCAGTCCATACAGCAGAGACTGTCAGTTTAGCCTGGTCCAAAATGCAGCCCTGGATCATCCATCCTTTTACCCATTCATTCAAGTGTGAGACTTGACAAGAAACAGACTCTATTAAATACCAATAATACCCAAGCCAATAGATTTTCTGCCTAAGATGAATGATAATTTTGGAAGTACTTTTGTTTTTTTTCCCTAAAATATACTCTTTTCATTGCACATCTGTGTCTCGGGTTATCTGTGGGGTTAGAAAACCCCTCCTCACTCCCAATCCCAGCTACATGGGAACAATATGGCATCATGGTCCTGCTGTCAGTGAGGGGGTGGAGGTGAGTGCAGGGCTGTGGCTCGGGAGTCATCTCGGAGGTTGCCCATGAGTCTACACCAGCCTCTTCAGGGCAGGGAGCTCAGACAGTGGTTGTATTTGCACTGCTACAGGACCTCGCTGAAGCCCTCACACAGGGTCAGGTCACTGAGTGATTGAGCAGTCCAAGAACTGCTTAATCTCGTAGGCATAGGGCCCCATCTGCATGGGCTGGGGGGCAGCGTGGGAAGGGGCTTGCTGGGCAGCAGGCTGGGTGGGCTTGGAGCTTCCCCAGATGAAGACTCCAGTCAGAGCACTGCCCATGACGTGTCCCACAGCTGAGCCCACAGCTAACCCAGAGGCCGTGGTTGCCATCTGTGCCATGAGGCCTGGCTGGCCTGACGGGGCTGGGGCAGCTGCAGAGGGCAGTGAGTGTGCTGGCAGGTGGGCAGAGGGTGCGGCGGGGTGGCTGGCTGGCCGGGCGACCGCACTGCAACTCCCTCCAGACATGGTAGCGGCAGTGGACGCAGTCGAGCTGAGTTAGAGATGATGACGGTAGCGGCGGTTCTGTCTAGAAGTACTTTTCTTTGGCTTACAAACTATGAAATAATATCCCATTCCCTGATTATAAGCAAATCACCAGGTGGAAATATACAGCCTTCAGTTTTAACCGGTAAATCCATAAACTGGTGACAGTTAATGTCATTCGTTTCTAGGTTCTACTGACATAGACTCTCTGGGAGCCAATGGATTTATTCCCAGCTTAGAATACAATGCAAAGAAAGGGACAGTAGGGAGTGGTGGCCCACCTCTTCGCTCAGGTAAAAAGGGTTTGATTCCTTGCCAGGTTAGACCCAGGACCTAGGTCAGTGTGTAGAGATTTTACTTCCTTTGAATAAAGGGGTCTGTTTCAGCAATAAAAAAACTCATTAATCTCTGGATTTCTTTGCCCATGGGAAGCACAGTGGGATACAATGGATGTAGGAATGTTGGTCAGAACTCACTCCATCCTCGTGCCTTTAGAGCTGACTTTAATAGTTATAATCTTTCCCCTGCACAGGCTGCTTAGCAACTGAGGAAGAAAAAGTAACAATGCTATGCTTGTCTAAGATAAGGAGAATGACCCAATCACCCCAAGGGATAAGCAACAAAAAGCTGCAAGGCACCTGGGAATCCTCCACTTCTACAACCTTTCTCTCTTTGGCATAGCTCCACTTTTGTCCCTAAGTCCCTTATAAGCTTCAACTCCTGCCCCCAGGGGTTGTAAAGAAAGCAACTGCACAGCACTTGGATCATTACTCCACCAGATCCATTCCCTGTAAGTAACCACCTGCCAATAATAATAATAACAATAATAATAATGATAATAATAAAAGACAACTCCTTGTAAACCGTATGGAGTTGCCTGCTCTGTTCTTTGGTAACTGGACACCTTCTCAGTTTGATGGGCATTATACTATTAGCTCACACTCGGACAAAGGGGTATACTGCTTTCCCCTGGAATTCAAGGTTCCCAAGGGGTTGGTCAGTTAGCTCAGGTGGTTACAGTGTGGTGCTGATAGCACCAAGGTCCAGGGTTTGATCCCTGTACCAGCCAGCTGCCAAAGGAAAAAAAAAAAGGTTCCCAAAAAGACAGAAAAGGAGAGGACCGAGCAAAAGAAACATGCCAGGAGGTTTACTTAATTTTGAGAGCTGATAACTTGATAGAGCTCACCTATCCCAATTCTCCCAACTGAACTTACTGGTGAAGCTTTGAGGCCCACGCTGTCTGCCATGCTGGTTGCTGTCACAGTCACTGTTGTCTGTTTTGTCAAACTTGCCATTTCTTCCTGGGTCTTTATTTTCCTTTTGATGCTCTACAACTTGCTGCCAATTCATGTTCCCAGGGCCCCTAACAGGGGATTGTAGCAGGGGATCATGCTCATTTTCAGCCTCCCTCTCTAAAATCAAACTACTCTGGGGATGCCATGGAGGTACTGTGAGCTGCCCAGTAGCTGCTTTCTCTACCATTTCTTTCACCTCCACTGGGCATAAGAGAAAACAGCATTTAAAACATCACTGTGAATATTGGAAACAAAAGCTTTCATCTTAAAGAGACAGGTAATACTATTATAGTTCATATTGTAACAATAATTGCCTTTTTACAATTGCATCATCCTTAGCTAGTATTAAAAGATAAACATTTTAAGCTTACAAGATAAAACTGATACAAAAAGATAATGCCCCTAGGGTATGTGAGAGTGACACTGCATGCTCTCCACCACTTTAATAATGTTGTATATTAAATATCTATACAGTGATCCGTTGGTACACACAGGGGATTGGTTCCAGGTCCCTCCCCCATACCAAAATCCATGGATACTCAAGTCCTGCAGTTGGCCCTGTGGAGACTGCATATATGAAAAGTTGGCCCTCAACATGTGCGGGTTCTGCATCTCAAGAATACTGTATTTTTGATCCACAGTTAGTTGAAAAAAATCATGTATAAGTAAACACATGAGATTCAAAACCATGTTGTTCAAGTGGCAACTGTATTGTGCACTGTGTTACATTTGTTATATAATATACATTTATATATACAATAGAAATATTTCCTGTAAAGTCTAGAAATAAAAAAAAACATTTCCCTTCTGCAATCTGTAGTAGAATAACCTTGCTTTTAAAACAGAATGATCTTGGGCCGAGCCCGTGGAGCACTCGGGAGAGTGTGGCGCTGGGAGCGCGGCAGCGCTCCTGCCGCGGGTTCGGATCCTATATAGGGATGGCCGGGGCGCTCACTGGCTGAGCATGGTGCGGCTGGTCTCAAAAAGGACAAAAATAAAATAAAAATAAAAATAAAAAAATAAAACAGAATGATCTAATGGAAGAAAAGAAGTAGAAGGACATTGGTATGGGTCTAAACAGTGTAATACAGGCTGCGTACTTAGAGATATCAACCAGTTTTAAAATATATTTTAAATTTCATTTTGCCTAACAAAACCCATGGCTTTATACTCACTTTTCCACTTTAAGTGTACCTCTCCATCATCTTCGTTATTTCTTGACTTTGCTTTATAGACTTCAGAAGACACAGATTCCACACTGATCCTAAATTGCATCAGTTTTTTGGGGAGTAGGGTAGCAGGTGGACACAAACACATCAGTTTGCTGAAGTACCTGACAGAGCTCAAAATCCACCAACCCACGCAGAGTAACTGTCCCCTACTCCATGAGCCATTCCTGAACTTGCACTGACTCCTGCCCACCACCAGAGAGCACCAGACTCTCCAGTGTTCAGACCACAAAGCTCCTTACCTGGCAGAGTCCTGGCAAGGGCTGAATGACCCAAGAGGTCCCGGCAGGTGGCTTGACACAGTGAAGAGTGAGCTATTGAGCTGTGTGACTTTGGTTTGGGCACTGGACTCTCTAGGCCTTCCTTGGCTAAGAAATGAAAGAACTGGGCTAGAAGATCTCTAAGGTTTTTCAGTTGCCACATTCAAATTTCATGATTCTAAGGTTGCTCTTGGGAAATTTTCAGAGATAGAAGAAACTCACAGTTGAAACAGTTTCACTAGACAGATTCCTGATCCTTGGGCTGTTGCAGAGCTCCCCCCTCCCACCATGCCACAGATCACAGGTGATGGTTCAGGTGAAGTTTCTACTCCTGCCCTTCTGTCAGAATTCTCTGGTAACAGGCCTATCTACATATCAGTGACAGCACAATAACTAACATCCGTAAAGATGGTCTTAATGCACCAGGGATCCTGAAGAACATTCAGAGTAAAACAGTCTAGTGTCACTTGACTTCAAGACCCTGAGCTGCTGCTAGGTTAACTATCTGTCTTTGGCAAATGTCAATCTCTCTGGGTCAAGGCTTCCTTATCTGCAAAACAAGGGCATCTTTTTTCCTCTAAATATTCCGTGATATATAATTGTCTATTAAACTAACTTTTCAGAAATATGTGATCTGAGGGCCGGCCCGTGGCTCACTTGGGAGAGTGCGGTGCTGATAACACCAAGGCCATGGGTTCGGATCCTATATAGGGTTGGCTGGTTGGCTCACTGGCTGAGCGTGGTGCTGACAACACCAAGCCAAGGGTTGAGATCCCCTTACCGGTCATCTTTTAAAAAAAAAAAAAAAAATGTAATCTGAGGCATAGATATGAATGGCCTGTTATCCAGAATGCCCTACTGCCCAGCTGGATTGGAAAGCAGAGACTATTGAATCAGAGAGGTCAGATCCGATCAGCTTCTTTTAAGAGATTTTTGGAAACAGCTATCAAGAATCTCTAAAATGTCAAACCCTTTGACCAAGTAATTTCGCTTCTGGGAATCTATCCTGAGGACATAATCCAAAATACAGAAAAAGCTTTATTTACAAGTCACTATGTGGCCCTGTTCATAACAGAATAAAGAATGAAACAACCTGGGCCGGCCCGTGGCTCACTCGGGAGAGTGCGGTGCTGATAACACCAAGGCCCCGGCCCCATAAATAATAAATAAATATTTATTTATTTACTAATAAATAAATAAAAATAAAGAACCGTACTTATATTCTACAATTTTCATGACATACCTACAATTATGAAAGTTTGAATATTATCAGTAATTTATAAAAGCTTGGATGTAATCTATTTTTTTTTTAAATGGTGGGTAGAGGATTCTCAATTGTTAATCTCAGAGTGATGGAATTACAGATAATTTTAATTTTCTTTTTTGTATTTTCAAAATTGTCTACAATAACAATACTTTGTTAATTAAGGAAAAGACAAAAAATAATAATAATATCGTTCAACCCATGCAAAATGAATCACTCAAACTCTGGGTTCAAGGAGTTTACAGTTTAGGAGGGAAAACTAATATACTAAACAGCCAAGGTTGAAACAAAGACTTAAAAATGTACAAGCAATGTTTTGAGGGGGAAGATGCCATAAGGAAGTAGAGTTGTCATCTTTTGTAAAAAAATAAATAAATAAAAAATAAAGAATGAAACAACCTAAAATTCAACAATGGGGGAAATCTAACAATTTCAAAGTAAGTTTACATGGTGTTTTTTTTAATAACATGGGATAATGCTCTTGTTCTAATGTAAAGTGAAAAATCAGGATATAAAATTGCCTGCAAATACAATAATTTTTTTAAAAAGCATACAAAAAGACTAGGTGGATAGGTAGCAAAATATTATACTTTTCTTTGGTCTGTTTTTTGTTCTTTTGGGAGAAAAGGGTGAAGCTGGGCAGGGAAGGTCACAACTACAGGTTTTTATCATCTAATGGTTATAATGTCACAATTATAACCATTGTGATTAATATAATATAATATAATGTAATCTAATATAACATAATGTAATATAAGTGTGAGTGCCATACCCTCTGATACCAGTTGGGTGATTCTTCATAATTCACTTCATAAGGCTGAAATCACTGTTCTAAAATGTCTGGGCATTTCCCTTCATTATCCCTTATGTACATATTTATCAACATGAAATGATACTCCCAGTCACCATGGGGGGCGGGGGGGCAGACAAAAATTACTTTTTTCCAGGAGAACCGAACTTCAAAGCTGTGAATTAGCTGCCATTTATCCACAGAAAAGAAAAACTAAAACTGATATACTAGTCTACCTTAAGAAACACTTATTGCCTCATTTAATTCCCCTATGTAAAATAAAATTTATTTTACACTAGTTCTTTAAAACTCAGTGTACATATGTACCCTCCTTCTAGTGCTTTGTGCTCAAGCCAATTCATTTTAATAATCTTACTGGAAATCAGACATTCCAGGTAACAGTGATATTGTTCAACTCCCCCTCTGGGTTGTGACTTTAAAAACCCTGGTTTCCAATTAGTTTGGTTTCTGTAGCACTGGCAAATGGAATACTTGGCATTTCTATTTATAAGAAAAACTACCTGAGCAGTTTTGGAAAGGCAAGATGCTTTGCTCTTGACAAATGATGAGTTCTGTCTTATTAACCTGCCAGCCACTTTACCTTTGAGGTTTCCTACAAGTTTCCATTATACTGCTCTTTCCACTCACTTATTAGAGAGAACCTGCCAAGATCTGTTTCTGCACTGTTCTTCCTCACTCACTTTGTCCCTCAGTCCCTTTGTCACTAGACATATGAAGATCATTAAGTGGACTTATGGTCACATGGGGATCTAAAGGCATGGTGACACAAAAACCAATACAATGTTGACCCACCTACTGGTATTTTGGTTTCTGCTTCTTTCCAAACTGTCTTTGGCTCCTTGAGTGGGCTGAAATTGTTCACCTGTGTTCTGTTTTCCAGGGCCACAAACAGCTGGCAGCTTAAAAAGCAATAAACATGTTTCAGTGCTTTGATGAGGGACTTCCTCTTCTCTTCACTCTCGCACTGCTTTCAAAATCATTCTTGCTAGGGCCGGCCCGTGGCTCACTCGGGAGAGTGCAGTGCTGATAACACCAAGGCCGCGGGTTCAGATGCCAGATAGGGATGGCGGGTTTGCTCACTGGCTGAGCGTGGTGCTGACAACACCAAGTCCAGGGTTAAGATCCCCTTACCGGTCATCTTTAAAAAAAAAAAAAAATCATTCTTGCTAGGGCCGGCCGGTGGCTCACTCGGGAGAGTGCGGTGCTGATAACACCAAGGCCGCGGGTTCAGATGCCAGATAGGGATGGCGGGTTTGCTCACTGGCTGAGCGTGGTGCTGACAACACCAAGTCCAGGGTTAAGATCCCCTTACCGGTCATCTTTAAAAAAAAAAAAAAAAAAAAAAAAAAAAATCATTCTTGCTAAACGTATAGAAATAACCAGACCTACCAAGACAATTTCCGTTTGCATGTTTCTTATCTAGTAAATCATCTCTTACCTGGAGGTCTTTACCCAGAAATGTTGGCCCCATGAACCCAGTCCAGACAGGGTGCAAATGGAGAATGAGCAGACAAAATAGAAATCAAAAATTGAAACATCTTCCTGAGCATTTTCTCCCTACATTAATATGAAGGCAGCAGATCTTGGTGGCAGGAGCCCTGAGCCTTGGGTTCTAGTGTAAGCCTTACTCAGATTAACCTAACAGAGTCTCATACTTCAGCATCCTCATCCATAAAAATGGGACAATGATATCTACTGGTGCAATGCTATGAAAAAAAAATAAAGACAACAATATTTTGAAAATAGCAGAAGTAAAATAAAGTCTATGTACTTTATTCAAAAGAGAGACTTTGGGATCTGTTTATCTCAATTTTAACATAATTTTAACAAACTTTATATTTTCTAGCCTACAGCAAATTAAAGCAACAAATGTGGGGCTTGGATGGCAACAAGATGCATAAAAGTGAGAGGAGGCATAAAAAAATTATCACAAGCTCCCTGCAGTATGAGATCCAGAGGCCTTTGTGTATGGGTAAATATATCTCGACAGGGGCTGTATCATGGCACTTCATAATAACAGATGTTCAAAAAAATATCACCGTCACAGAGTTCCGGTCAAGATGGCAGAATAGACGGTCCCCAGTGTCACACTCTCTCACAAGTCAACCAATTTACAAATATAAAAATGTAACAGCCAAGCTGGGGCCGCTGGAGCTCAGGGGAAGAGGAAGAGAGACCTATGGAGTGCACAAAAACAGGAGAAACCATGATGAGAGAAAGAAAAAAGTGCTCGCAGCGTTTTGGGTCACGGCTGCTTTAAGGCTGGAACTGCTAAGCGTACCTATATAGGTATCACATGGAACAGAAGAACCATCCAGGTGAACTCTGTAAATTCCTGACACACAGAATTGTGAGAAATAATGAACTACTGTTACTTTAAGCCACTAAGTTCTGGCTTTTTTGTTTTCTTACACAACAACAGGTAACCGGCTTTTGGTCAAGATGGCAGAATAGATGGTCCCCAGCATCACTCTCTCCCACAAATCAACCAATTTACAACCATTAAAAAGCAATGACAGGGCCGGCCTGTGGCTCACTCGGTAGAGTGCGGTGCTGATAACACCAAGGCCCTGGGTTCGGATCCTATGGGATGGCCGGTTCGCTCACTGGGTGAGCGTGGTGCTGACAACACCAAGTCGAGGGTTAAGATCCCCTTACCGGTCATCTTTAAAAAAAAAAAAAAAAAAAGCAATGACAGACAAGCTGGGGCCACTAGAGATCAGGGGAAGAGGAGGAGAGACCAATGGAGTGCCTGAAGGCAAGAGAAGCCACAATGAGAGAAAGAACTGCCCCAATCGTTTCGAGCCCCAGCTATTTCCAGGCTGGAGCTGGTGAGCGCAAGGAGCAGGAGCTGGCAAAAGCCACAGCTGTGTCCTTCAGATGCAGTTGCTTGGAGGCTGCAGAGGAGAAGAGGGCCTTGGTGGCCCCAGGCCAGCAAGACTACTTAATAGGGTTCCTGTGGACCCACACAGGAGGAAGGAGCCACTCAGAGGCCAATGAATCATTACAATGGACTGGCACACAGCCTGTCCACAGGAAGTGGTTGGAGCATGGGGGGTTGGGAAAATGGGCCCACTGGGGGAACACTGGGGCACAGCAAGGACAGCTGATCTGACCCCCAATCAGTGCAGGACCACTCAGAGAAGACTGGTCAGGAATATAGAATTGCAGAGTGTGCAGTTTGCTGGAAAGACTCACGCCCAGACCAGAGTTTCCACACAACACAGGTGTACTAGATCCATGAGACCCAGAACTACCTATAAAGTCAACCATTAAAACCTGAGCTGCACAAAAAGCCTTCCCCAGGGAATCAGCAGCAAAGCAGCAATTTAGCTCAACCACAGAGCTCAAGTACTGGTCCCCACAGGAAGTTCCCCCATTTTAGAAGTAAGCGAAGGACAACAAATTAGTTCCAGGGCAGATTTTAAGTAGTAGGAACAGCAAACAATCCAACACAGAACTGAAAGAAAAAACAATATACCCTCAGACCACAGAAAACGTTTGATGTTAACTAGTAAAAGTCTCATTTCACCAAAGAACACTTATAAAACCTAGAAGGACCAGAAGGATCCATGTCTGAAGGGTCTTCCAGCTCTAAAGTTCTATCATTCATTCAAGAGGAAGAATGTGTGAACTTGTTCAAACTCATTCATTCATTCATTCATTCTCATTCTTTCAATGACCATTTATCAAGGACATTCTGTGTGTCAGACACCATACTAGATGCTGGGACAAAGAATTAGTAACACCTAGACCCTGTCCATAAGGAGCTCACAAAGCAGCCACTCTGCAACCTCACTAAGCCTCAAGCTAAACCTCCCAGGCCAGCTCCCATCGTGGCTGCTCACCAACTCTGAAGTGTCTTCTTTGACCACCAGGTCCCTCAGTCCCTCAGTAGCTCTGATGTTTGAGCTACTTACAGGAAGAGCTGTGCCTTTCTCACCATTATATCCCAGGGTCTAATAGCCTCTGGCTCTATAAATGTTTGTTGAGTGAATAAAAGAATGAATAAGCAATTTAGAAGAGAGATTAATAGCTGCCCAAGATACCTTATACAATAAGTTAAACCATGTGAAATTGCCAGTACTTGTTTTAACCTATAAAACAGCAATTTCACATGGTTCAACCTGACACAAATGAATTTACAAAGACATGGGCTGTGTGCTGGGTTTGGAATGGGAGGTAAAGAGTATCTACTTTGGAATTCCATCCTGGAGGCATTATTTCCCAAAGCCAAGAGGACTTGGCTATGAGCCGACTGCATTTGTATGTCAGTCCCTGCACACAGGTTAGGGGCAATGTTGGACCTGGCTCCAGGGTCCTGCTTAAGCTGCCCCTTCTTCCCAGTAGGTTTACCTGATGGCTCGTCTCTGACTGATTCCTAATGCTTTCTTCAGAGACTTGGGTGAAAGGGGTGAAAGGTTTCCAGCCACAGCCACTTCTTTTCCTGGACCTTTTGCCAAAATGTCTCCCTTGAAAGTCTTTCACTGTTCTTGGAAACCTTACTAGGGTTGGACAATTGCTGTGGGTTTTTGGCTGCATGACAGGAGGGATATAACTGGAAGCTGGAGGGCCCACAGCTGAAGGTAAGTCACAAATGTTTGCAAACTCTCTTGAGGTAGCCCACAGAGACATGTGCTTCTCCAGCTCCTTCTGCGTCATCTCAAGCTTATCTAATTTTTGTTGGACATTCCTCAGCAAATCGGCATTCTGGTGCGCTAGCGTTTGCGAAATCTTTAAATTCAGCACACACTTACTGATGTACTCCTCAGTCTTGGACCTGTTGCTCACATTGCCCGCGGCTTCTCTGGTTGGCTCAAGTAGGCTGAGTGAACTAAGTGAACAATTTTGCCAGTCCCAGTCCTCAAAGGAGAGCTCTGTGTCAGCTTCTGAAGAACTCTCATCCTTACCACAAAAACAGCATGCCTCTCTCTCCATCTTATCCAGCTCTTCCTCCATGGACTTCAGTTCATCATCCTGGTCTGGTCTATCCTCTTCTAGAGATGAAGCAGCTCCTGGGGCCTCTTTCTCTTTGTCATCTCCCATGCTTAGGCAGCCTGAGTAGATTTCATTGATTTCAAAGCTGCAGAGGCTTGCCTGACCTGAGCTGGAGTTGCTGGCCTCTTCTACCACAAATGGAGCAGGAGGAACATCTTGATTCTGAGTCTCCTTGGCTCTCAGACTCAGATCTGGGGCCTGAGGATCTGGTGTTGCTTTTTCAGTGGGAGAAGAGTGACCCCTTGGTGAATGAGGCTGATTGCCTGTTGAAAAGAACAACAACATATATTGATTAAAGTGATCATATTCAACAGCCAAGCAGACTTGGCTTATTGCTCAAGAGGCACAAGAATGAAGAAAAAATCTTTTTATTTTCCCACTCCCTTCCCAGTTATAGAAGATTACTGGATATACTCACAGAGGGTGAGAGGGTATTACTAACCTAGGTGTAAGTTCCCATTTTGACATGGGATGATGCAGAAATGTTCAGGGAGTCAAACTGTAGGGAAACATTCTTTTTTTTTTAAAAAGATGACCGGTAAGGGGATCTCAACCCTTGGCTTGGTGTTGTCAGCACCACGCTCAGCCAGTGAGCAAACCGGCCATCCCTATATAGGATCCGAACCCGTGGCCTTGGTGTTATCAGCACTGCACTCAACCGAGTGAGCCACGGGCCGGCCTGTAGGGAAACATTCTAAGCTTCATTTATAGTGGACTCATACCTGTATAATTGTCAAGACATGCAAATTACAGGCCCCTGAATCTTCATCACATTATAGCTTTCTTTACACACAGGAGTTTGACTATTGATGTCAGTTCATGTTACACTCTTGGCAAGCATCTGATAAAAGTGACGGAGACGTTGCCCAAGAAGACACTGCATCATGGGAGGGATAAATAACTTAAAAAATAATGCCAGGTCTAACCACCCACCACCTCTGGTTGTCAGGTGTACAGCTTTCAGAGAATGGGATGAAGAGGCCAAAGTAATCAGAGCCTGGAGGGCCACTCTGGAGGCCTTCAGCCCTGTCAAGGCAAAGTGAATGGTCACCTGGCTGAAATTCGAAGGCCTGGGTTCCAGTTCTGTAACAAGCTCTGTTATTCTGAGCAGGTCACAACCTATTTGAACCTTAGTTTTCTCATCTGTAATATCAGGGCATTAAGCCTGATGATTGCAAGGTCCTTTCCAGCTCTAATTCTAAAGTTTCCAAATGTATCGAAAAGCAGAAAAGCAAAAAAATAAATAAATAAAAATAAAAAATAAAGTGTGAAGGAAGACCGAAGTGTTAAATTATTTCTAAGTGCCAGAATTACAATAAGTAATTTTCTTCTTCATACTGTTCCAAATTTCTATCATAAGCATATAGTACTTTTATATTAACAATCATTTTTATTTGTGACGCAACTAGATAAATTCTTAAGAGCCATCATGCTAGAAATAAACTCATCGTTACTACTTAGTTCTGGATCCAAGCCAAGTATATATGGAGCTCAAAAAATTTAACTTTTTTTTTTTCATGGCTGGCTGGTTAGCTCAGTTGGTTGGGGTGCAGTGTTGTAACACCAAGGTCAAGGGTTTGGATCCTTGTACCAGCCAGCTGTCAAAAAAACAAACAAACCAATAACAACAACTTGTTTTTCAGTCCCACATAGCAGCATTAACTTAGTAATTTTAAGGATCTTAATTTTTCCGTAAGGCATCCATCTTTTCCCAGCATAAGTTACATGTACAGTTTGGAGGAGTCAATTAGTTGCAGCTCATATGACTCTCAGAACACAGTTCTGTCAAAGTGATGCTTAACCTGTGCATTTAGGCCATACCCATTTCCTTTAGCTCTTTGATTTCCAAGTCAGGGGTCTCTTTTGAATGTTCTGAAGTCGGTCCTAGATAGACACTGACATCAGGATGGAGTTCATATCTCTGTACTCTCAGACTCTCAGTCGGCTGAGTTCTCTGGGCTCCAATAAAATCCTGTAGCACAGAAAATATTGTCAAGAACATATTTTCAATCATCTGAATGTCAGTGGTGTTTTAGAAACCCATCTAAACTCTCTCTTACTAATGCTGGGTAGACCGTAGTCCTGATTAGCTAATTTATTGTCATCACCAATACCCTGAAAGCAACGGCAGTAGCTGCCATTCACTGCACCTCCATCACGTGCCTACGGTGTGCCCCTGTGAGGTGTTAAGGCCCCCAGCTCCTCTCCTCAAGCCAAGCAGTTAGGCTCCCCTCACGAAGTTAAGCAGTTAGGCTTTTCTCAGGAACACAGAAAGTGTGTAATAAAATGAAATTTTCTAAAACTTCTTACAACCCAATCTCTAGCTTCTTCTTGGTCTCTTAACTCCCCACTCCCCTGAGATGAGTAGGCAGAAATAAACTCCCAACAACTTCAGGGCTTGCCTTTAAGTCATTCTTCAGAATATACCGGATATCTTGAAGGCTCATAGTTCGGTCTTTCTGCTTGACCTGGATGCCTGACTTAACAATATCATAGTAAGGCTTCGGAAGCCTGACGTCAGCTTCTAAATAATTTCCCAGCACTATGGCTTCTTTAATAACTGAGCCATCCAAGCCATTCCAGGGTATGTTGTCTGTAAGGGGAAAAGTAATAAGAAGGAGTAACATTAAGAAATCAGGAGGTGGGAAGGAAAGAAATCAGATAAAGTTGGGTAACCTTAGTTGAGTCATTCAACCCCTTTAAACATTAATTTCTCTCTGTAGAAAAACTACTTGGAAGCCAAATCACACACATGAAGCCACTTTACCCATTTACCAGGGAAATCCCAGCCTCAGAGATAGAAAATAGGGTCAGCATGATGTACATGGGCCCCCTGCTGGCAGAACTAGGGACCAGAAGGGACTGCTTCATGGCATTAGGCTGGGTAGCCCTATGCATTCATCTTACAGAAGGTGTGGTGTTGCCTCTGGGACTGTAGACAATGTGAAACTTTGGTTCTCACCTCCTCCGTGAATGTGGTTTTACTGTTTGCGTGCATGTGTGCATGTGTGTGTTTCCTTCTCTTGAAGGGTGTCTTCTGTCTTCAGATATGTGACTACTTCCCTCACATTATAAAGTCCTGTAGGTTTGGAAGGGCTTCCATTTCTTTCAAGTGATATTGATTATACATCTACCAGACCTTGGGTGTGTTTAATTCCATAGTTTACTTCTCAGAGGCCAGTCCTTTCCCCTCGTTTACAATTCCTTTTTTGTGTGTTTTTTGGTGGCTGGCCAGTATTGGGATTCAAATCCTTGACCTTGGTGTTATAACACCATGCTCTAACCAAGTGAGCTACCTAGCCAGCCCTACAATTCCATTTAAGGGGCACCTCACAGCGATCCTAAGTATTGACACTAACATTCAATTTTAAAACTGTCTGGATTAAATACATTATCACTGACAAGCAGATGGGTGGGCTTTGTTAAGTCTTAAAAAACAGTTAAAAGAGAAAGATTTCTGGGAAGTCATCTTATACCTTCCATAAGCACAAAGAGGTTTCCTTGAAGAAATCTCTTCTAAGTCCTGCACTTTCATAAAACCAAGTAACTTTGGGGGGGGTGGGAATCCAACATAAAAATAGAGACTTTGATCAACTGTTAATGTGCTTCTTGAACTACCTGTTAAAATCTCCTGTATGATCATAGAAAAGCTGTAGATGTCCGACTTCACTGTGGCTGCCCTCTGTAAGATCACTTCCGGTGCAGCCCAGTTGTACAGCTGGGTGGGGAGGGGTACTTGAGTCAGGTCCCTGTGTACATCTCCATCCCGGCTACAGAAGGAAACACACAAGGCAGGTCTCATGAGATCACCGCACAGTGCATTTGTGAAATATTTGCCTCTGAATACTGGCAACCTCCCTGAGCTTCTGGAAACCTAGCTAGACACCAACATAACCCACAATGCCTCAAAGCTGGTCCCACACCTGCAATTCTTTCCTGTTCCTACCCGACCAGGCCCTGTTCCCCCTCCCACCTCATCTGGCCACTCTCTCCTGCTTACCCACTCCACTCGCAGGGAAAGAAGTTGCCGGGGTGGCCTTCTTTCAGTTACTCCAACATGCCAAGCACATTACCACTTCAAGTCTTTGTATCAGCAGCTTCTTCTGCCTGGCATGCTCTGCCCATAGATCCTACAGTGACTGGCTGCTTCTTGTGACTGAGGTATTTGTTCGAAAGTCACCCCCTCAGGGAGGCCTACCCTGACCACCTAATGTAAAGTAGTCCTGTGTTATTGGCTTCAGAGCACTTATTATCTGAATTTTTTTAGTTTATTATCTGTCTCCCCTCCACAAGAGAGTCAGCTCCATGAAGTATGTACCTTATCTGTCTTTTATATCACTGTATCTCTGAGCTTACACCAGGGTCTCGATGCTTGATGTCAGATAAAAGAACGTAAGACTCTTTCAAGACCCCTCTCAAGCCTCATCTGCTTTATCAGAGCCACATGTGCCTTCTCTAACGCCTCATGATTGCTTCCTTTCTAAACTACTGTTCTCTTGGGAATGGGCCCTCTCAGTTCAGCACTCAAAGGTTCACTGTTTGTCTGACTAACTCATCTTCCCAACCAGGCTCCCTAAGAACTAAGTCAGAGAATCCTAAATGTCTTCTGGGCTAATAAGAGTCCTTGGGAACAGTCAGTGCTGACTTCTTCTCATAGCTGTCACGAGAATCAAATGAGACCACGGATATGAAAACACTCTGTGAACCATAAAGCACTTTCTAAGTAAGGAATTAATATAAACATTACGGGGCTCGCCCGTGGCTCACTCGGGAGAGTGCGGTGCTGATAACACCAAGGCCACAGGTTCGGATCCCTATATAGGGATGGCCGGCTGGCTCGATGGGTGAGCGTGGTGCTGACAACACCAAGTCAAGGGTTAAGATCCCCTTACCAGTCATCTTTAAAAAAAAAAAATATATATATATATATATATATATATATATATATATATAAACATTACGGTAGGTACTCAGTAAAGACTTGACGACTACTGGTTGATAAGTAAGTTTTTAAAAAGCAAGTGAGAGCAAGTTCTTTGCTGGTCTGACATAAGGACAGATTTTAGAGGATGGAATGAGCTTTTCAGACTTTGAGCAAACTTCCCTAAATAATGTTTATTGCAGCAGAGCTTTTGATAGATGGCAGTGAGTTCAACAAGCTATGAAGTTATAAAAGCTGGTACTGACTTTTTAGTGGTATGGCTGAATACTTAGGTGTGGTCTGGTGTGATATGAACAGTGCGGATATGCATGCAAATTTAATAAACATATATATCTTATGATAAATTTAATATACTTGTATATACCTGATATAATTATACATGAAGTGAATACAAATTAGTATCACAGAAAAGGCAATGGAGTGTTTTATTGTCAGAGATACATTCTGAAAACCCAGCCTGCTTGGCTCTTCAAGTTGGGGGGCAATTCTCCAAGGGAAACATCCGCCTACCTTCTTAGGCTTCTCAGGCTTATCAAAGCCTCTGGCAAGGAACAAGTAACTTATACCAGGACTTAAACCCTCTCTTTTACTTCCTCTCTTACAATCACTTCTTTCTTCTCTATTAAAGCTACCTGGGTATAGGGGATCTCTCTTCTGGCTGTCACTGTACGACAGTTATTTTTCTGGGTTTCAGCTTTGACATCATTAAAATTACATTTGGCTGCAGCTATGTGACACCACTTCCACAGTCAATTCCAGCCCTAAAGATTCCATTAAGAAGGAGTTAAAGAATAGGAGAAATTGCTGCATCATTTTTACACCAAGAGATGGAGTGCTACCCTTGACAATGACATTCAACAAACCAATGTGTCCAAGTAGAGTGTTACCAAATATAAACGCAGAATTGAAAGCTATTCTGAATTGTTAGATAATCAACTCATGCTATCAGTTTTCAAAGAAAAGTACACTGTTACTGCTGCGACTGCTTGCTAACTGATATTTCTGCCTGAAGTTCCATTCTGAGGTTAACAAGCCCAAATGAGAATTCACACCTTCCTACCATACCCTGTCCCTCCGGACTTCCCAGTGGCACTCATAGACTCTGGTTACCTCCTACCCTCTCACTTGGCCAGCCACTGACCCAGCTCCTCAGTGCATTTCACTTCTTTTCCTCCCATTTTAGCTCCTTGGTCACCACCAGGCCCAGCCCCACCCTACAGAAACCTCTCTGGTCTTCCTCCCTCAACCTCCAACCTAGTTTGTCCCTGTAGCCCGGAGGCATGTTTTACCACCAGGTTCTGCCCCACCTTTGCCTCTAATCAAACAACTGGGTAACTTCAGACCACCCCTTCACTCCTCTGGGCCTCATTTTCCTCATCTATGAAAGGACAGGGAATCCATTTCACTCTAGGATTCACACTTCTATTGGATAGCAAAAGCAGAGAAACTATTACCTCTATCTTGACAACAGATGGCACCCCATCACTGACAAATAGCTTGAATACTGTCACAGCCTTCCTGAAAAACCTCTGGTGTTATCAACAGCAAAAAAAGGATCCCCTTACTGGCTAGCTGCCAAAAAAAAAAAAAAGGTCCAAACCCCTTAGCTTCCCCATAGCTTCCACTACTCCCGAACACATAGCCAAAGTGGTAAACCCTGTTCAGAACCATTTCGAGTTTTTCCTTCATCTAGACTCATCTAATCATTTAACAAACATTTACTGAGCACTTACTATGTGGCAGGGTCCGAACTGAGTGCTGAAGGTAAGAGTGATGAACAAGCCACAGTCCCTGTCCCAGGGAACTCGCCATCTAGTGGGGCAGGCACACTTGCACAAAAACGACTAGGTTACACTTCAATAATAAGTGTGAGGAGAGGAATATGTAAAGTGTCTCAGGGGATAAGGGCATCAGTGTAGGCTTCATGGGGTGTGGTGGAAGACTATGTTTAAAGTGAGTTAAAAGGACAGAGACTTGTGCTAGGTATTCCACATGATGGAGCAGCACTGTGAAATGGCATGGATTGAAAGTGGCTTCAAATGGCCAGGAGGGGGTGGGAAGGGATGAGGTTAGCACTGTGGGTAGAGCCCCACCTGGGAAGGCTTCCACACCCTGCAAAGGTGCTTGGACTTAATCCTGTAGGCAATGAGGAACCCTGAAAGGTGTTAACTGGGATTGAGAATGGACCAGATATGAGGCTTAGCAGCTCAACTGGTGACAGTCACCAGGCCTCCTCCCATTCCCATGTAGAAAACTGCAACAGCTCCAGTCATACCCTAACTGCTCCCCTGCCTCTCTCTTGCCCCATCACAACCCCTTCTCCACAGAGGAGTGAGAGGGATCTTAACCTATAAATCATCCATGACACCACCATGCTCAAAAGAACCCCTTCCACAGCATCCCAATGTTCTCAAGATAAAATTCAAAGTCCTCACCAAGGCCCACAAGGCCAAGTGCAATCTGGCCCCTGCCCTCTCTCTAGGCAGAGGGACAACAGGCACTCAAGTTCTGGGAGGATGAGAATCTTTCAGTTTTATTCATTTGAAAATCATGTTGAGTGCCCACCGTATGAAAGCCTGTTCCAGGCATTTGAGATATAGCAGTGAATAAAGCAAATCCCTGCCCTCATGTAGCTTTTCATCTAGTGAGAGAAGTAAACTACAGAGTAAGTGAGAAGCAAAGACCTGGTGAGAGACTCTGAAACAAAGCATCAGTGATGGGTGGGTGGAGGACAAGGGTGAGAAGAGGCAGATCTAAGCAAGGGGTCTGCCCAGCGGCTGAGGCCTCACAGAAGAGCAGACCCAACACTGGGCCAAAGGTTCAGACCTGTGGACAGCAGCAAGGAAGCACAGGGAGATCTCTGCCTCCCAGGCCTGGGGCAGGAAATGGGGGTCAGCCCCCAAACTTAGGAGGACTTTGATTCCAGCCAAACAGGAAACAGCCCATCCACCAACCTTTGGGTGAGGACCTTGGTTCTGACTGCCCCTCTTTCTGTGCTGAGCCCCTAGAGGGCAGGAAACACCCTTATTGTCCAGCCAGCACAATGCCTGGCCCTGGCGCGGTCCACACCATGGCGGAGTCCTGAAAAGAATAGCTTGAGCTGCCCTCTCCGAGTTGGCAAGGCCGCCGGAGGGAGAGCTGCTGGCAGGACCACGGCTATGAGCACTTGCTTTCGCTTTAAGGATCTCTGCCTTGGCATAGTGGTACTGCTTTTATTTTCTCTTTTGATGTTTTGGTCAGCGTGGCAGTTTCCTGAGTTTCCAAAAGACAGAAAATGACACACAAACAGTTGTCATAAAATTAGATAGTTCCACCAAAGATCCGGGAAGATTGAACAATTCCAAATTGTCCCTTTTGAGTCAATTAATTATGCCAACGGGGCCGGCCCGGTGGCGCACTGCTACAGTGCACCGCTTGGGAGCGCGGCGGTGCTCCCGCCGAGGGTTCGGATCCCACATACAGACCGGTGCCCGCTCACTGGCTGAGCAAGGTGCGGGTGCGACACTGAGGGTTGCGATCCCGTTGCCGGTCCCGGCCCGGTACGGGCGCAACACTGAGGGTTGCGATCCATTGCTGGACACGAAAAAAGACAAAAAGGGGGGGAAAAAAATTATGCCAACGGATGTTTCAAAAACATCGGTTACGATTAATCATGAGCAATTGCCTTTACCAGAGAAATTAATAAATAAGAGAAGTCCCCATCCTCTTCCCACCATCTGGGCAAATGGTTACATGGGATATAATATGAAAAAGGGAAAAATCTGGTACCCTCCCAGGGGACGTCCAAAGTATGATCTAAGTTGGCAAACATCACTTACTGGAGATTGTATTAATGGCAAGAGAATGGTTGGCATTAATGAGAAATGATATGATTGGGACAAATTAAGTATATGGGAATGAAACTGTAGAACCCCCTTTACTTGGTGGTGTCCAGTTTTAAATAAATCATTAAGAATCAGGTGTTGGGATAAAAATATATGCTGTAAAATTATTAAACCTGCAAAATTAGATCTTAGAAAAATAAGAAAGTGCAACTGGTTTTGTGAGGGATGGTGCTGTGCACAATGACACTTTGATATTTAGATCAAGATTACAGGGCCACAGCCAATGCACAACCTTAAAACGTGCATGATAATGCTGCTCAAATATCCACCGTTCTTTTTCCATATGAACAATAGGTTCATACCATTAGAACATAAAATCATTAGACCCCCATTAGAATTTAAATGTTAACATTTTTCCTTTTAGCAAAGTTGTATTTAACCTATTTTGGTTAGGTTATGCCACCCTGTTAATAGGGTGGATATTAACCACAGCTTGCTAACAGAAAAAGGTCACAAGATAACTTCAAGACAATGAAGGGATGGTTTCGATCTGATAACCTGATTCCAGGAAAAAGAAGCATGAGTTGATCACCTGAGACATGCTGACAAAAGAAAAGGACTGGCTGACCTCTAAAAAAGTTTCCTCCCTGCTTTTTGGACTATTAATTTAAGCTTGCTGGTACAATAAAAATAGTACACAAAACCCCCCTGCAGAGAAAAATCTAAATAAAAGGCATTGTCTCATGCTCTACTGGGCTCCAGCTGCAGCAACGCTGACAGCCCGCAGAGAGAGAACGTGCATATTTGATGCACTGAGGTCTCCGTCTGTGTTTGTTATTTTCGCTGACCCTCTTCTTCCCTTTTTGGGTACCCATCCCTCGCTGAAGCTGGACTTCGGCATGGCCCAGATACAGGAGATGCGACAGACCATAAGGCTCATGGGTACCCATCACCTTCTCTCTCCTTCCAGGATGTGCCAGTAATCAGGCACGTTTCCCATCTCCCTCTAGTAAGAAGGTGATTGGGCTCTGTCAATGCAAAATGGGAGGCAGTGACATACCTACTTGAGGGTGCCCCAAACCTCACCATGTACCCCTCCACATTCTCTTGTTCACTGATCAGCAATGCAAAGAACACAGTCGGCGGGGGGGGGAGAGCCACAAATGGGAGGAACACAGAACACACTGCCCCTTTCTGACACACAAACTAGATCATAAAATGAGAAATACACTTTGTTGTGTTAAGCCACTGAAAATTCTGGAATGGATATCATTTATACACATTGGCTGATATGGGTTCTTGTTAAATGTTTATTAAAATGAGAATGTCCCGGGCCGGCTTGTGGCTCACTTGGTAGAGTGCGGTGCCGATAACACCAAGGCCACGGGTTCGGATCCCATATAGGGATGGCCGGTTCGCTCACTGGGTGAGCGTGGTGCTGACAACACCAAGTCGAGGGTTAAGATCCCCTTACCGGTCATCTTTAAAAAAAAAAAAAAAAAATGAGAATGTCCCGAGCAGAAGTAACTTCCCCAAAGTCCCTCTAGCCTTGGCAGACAGGGTAAGACATTTGGGAAACCTCTTCCTCCACTGATGGACAGTTCAGCCCCCCAATGAGAAGTTGTTCCACTCATATCAGATTCTCTATGTAAAGGTCCCCAGGGAGACCCTTTTGAGAAGAAAGTCACACTTGAGGTCGTGCCCACCTTTCCATCATGTACTCCAGGTTGGTGAGCCTTGCTTGCCCCGTTGAGACAATGTGGATGGCATAGGAGCTGAGCGAGCGGTGGATAAAGCCCCGCGAATGCAGGTATCTCAGGGCATCGGAGATCTGGAGCAGCAGGTGCACAATCACCTCCATGTGCAGCAATGGAAACTGGGACCGCTGTGAGCAAAAGAGAAACCACCAGGAACAAAAGGGACTGGGCCCCTGGCACTGTAGAATGCTTTGCAATTTCCAGTCTTTCCATTTGATCCTCACAGCTATTAAGGATCCCCATTTGATAGATGGGGAACCTAAGGCATATTGAGGTTAAGTGACTGGTCTACGGTCCCATGGATCCAGTCTCCCTGCCTCCAAACCTGGACTCCTTCCCTCAGCCAAGCTGTATTATACCACAAAAAATGAAGAGAAATTCTCAAAGCTTGGTATATGCACCCAGGGTTGGACTGGGGAAAACTGCCAGGAGAGATCCCCCAACTACCACCAGTAAAACTTCCCTGGCCCTTCCCTATCCAAGCCTGTTCTGCTGGGAGAATATGGAAGCTCAAAGGACCCCGAAGTCTGCAGATAACCAATCCAGTCCCTACCCAAGTCAGGTAATCTAGAAAGTTTATCCCAAAGGACAGAAATTCACTTATACTAATATACCTGGCTGATTAAAGTCATAATGGGTGTCTCCTCCAGAGAAATGGCATGTTAAGGTAATGCCCTCACCCAAGGAAAAAAAGGAAAGACAGAATACTAAAAGGAGGTCCTCAGGCAGGAGGAGTGGCAAGCCACTTGGGGGAAGGGCCCTTCCTGGAGGGTCTCTCCTCACTCCTACCCAGGATCTTTAAAACAAAGTCATGGAGTAAAAAACTCCTCTAGGAGCTCTCCAAAGCCACATCTCAGCCCAAAGCACACTTCTAGGGAATCTGCTGGCCACAGAATATGTCTACCCCTTGTCAAGGAAATTTTTTTTTTTTTTTTTTTTTAAAGATGACCGGTAAGGGGATCTTAATCCTTGACTTGGTGTTGTCAGCACCATGCTCACCAGTGAACATACCGGCCATCCCTATATAGGATCTGAACCCGTGGCCTTGGTGTTATCAGCACCTCACTCTCCCGAGTAAGCCACGGGCCAGACCTCTCGTCAAGGAAATTTGAGAAGTGAGGGGTAGTAATAAAGGTTTCTATTTAAACAAACCAGGATACAGCACAAGTGAAAATATAGAATAATAAAGTCGGTGGCTGTTAGATTATAGTTAGTTAGAAATGTGTGTGTTTTCTGGGTCTGTGAACTCTTAGCTGTCTGAAAAAGAAGCAGAACTGACAATAATAAAATCACACTAGTTCTGACTATGTGCTTATCAACCTTAAATGGTGTGTTATACAGCCCCCATTAAGTAAAGGAATTAAGAATTCTATCCTCCATGCATACACAAATGGGAACTCTACAGCTGGGGCAGGAGGAAAAGCAGGGAAGGTAGCAAGAGGAAAATCCACAAGAACAGCCATTTACTTGCTTGTGAAGGACACTGAAGAGGGTGCCGACTGTGATGCGCTCATACACCAGACGGGTCTTCTCCAGGTCCTGGGACAGGCACACAGCCATCAGCTGCAGTAGGTGGGGGTGCCGCAGCTTGCTGCAAAAGTAAAGAAGCTCCAGATGGGGCAGGGGGAAAGAGGATATACGAAAAAATGGGTGCTGTCCTTTCTTCTAGGCCCTTGAACGTTCTAAACAAACACCATTTGTATAAGTTTTTCTAAGAAAACAGGATGGGGTGAGGGTCTCTGTTGGTGGAATCTGTGGCCTCTCACTGATCAGACCCTGAGAGCTCAAAGTATCAGTGACAACAATGACAATGTCACTATGAGTTACTGAGCAAGGCACTCTAAATACTTTGCATAATCACCTCAGATCATAACAACCACTTGCAAGAAATGTATTCTTATACTCACCTAGAGACGAGGAAACCAACACCAAGGAAATGTCAAGAACTTGCCCAAGGTCACACACTCCACTCAGTCTCACATCAAAGTCCATTCTGTGTCTACAGGTCCTTCTAGTTCCCTGGGTCCTTTAGGCTGACTTCCCAAAAGGAAGGATTTGGCCTCTCTAGAGATACCTCCTGCAGGTGAGTTGCCATCACAGGAGACAGCTCAGTGAGCTGGGGTCCATTCCAGGGCCCCAGTGGCCCTGGTGTGAAACCATGAATCAGGAGCCTGCCCTAGCAAGATATGAAGGACCTAAACCTGGAGACACAGAAAAGGAACTGGCACCCATCATAAGCATGTCTCAGTGGCAGAGACATGGTTCTTCAGACATTTGGATCTCATGCACAGCCATGTTCCATGAGAATAAGACAGCCACATGCTGCTCTGATGGGCAGAGGGCTCAAAATGGCTGTAGCAGGAGAACAAGATGGGCCTAGAGGTTGACCATCCAGAGACATGGGTTATGGGACAGCTGACAGAATTGAGCCCTTACCACCACCATCCCCACCCCTCAGGTTATGCATTAATTCCTCTTTTTCTTGGAATTTAAGTCAACCAATTCCAACAGTCAGGAAATGCTAAGGCTAAGGGGGCTGGTGCTCCATACCCCACTTATAACCCTGCATATCCCAGAACCTGGATCTGGATGTGTCATGGGCCTGGCCCTTGGGCCTCCTCCTCACCTGCTGTGCTCCTGCTCTGCAATTAACAAGTCGGCCAGCCGCAGCCTGCTGCAGTGCAGGTGGGTAGGGAGATTCAGCTCCTTCACTGTGACCCTGCTCCCGTTCCACACCAGGCTACAAAGGCAGGAAAGAGTTCCAGCAGAAGAGGGTGAGCAGTCACTTCAGTGACAGAACTTTCCCAGCCAGACACCAGAGAAGCGGTGTTTACATAGAATCTGTAATGCCCCTTGGGCACCGCTGGTTCCTCCCTCCCACTGCCCCCGGGCACTAAAGCACCCTGGAGAACACAGGTGCTGGTGGCAGGAAGTCACTGAAGGACTCAATTGAGGGAGTGACTTGCTCAGGTTTGCATTTTAGAAAGACAGTGGTACCAGGTCAAGACGGCAAATTAGACAGTCCCCTGCATCACTCTCTCCCACAAATCAACCAATTTACAACTATTAAAAAGCAACAACAGTCAAGAGGGGCCACTAGAGCTCAGTGGAAGAGGAGGAGAGACCTACGGAGTGCAGGAGAAGCCACGATGAGAGAAAGAATAAACCACCTTGACTGTTTCAGGCCCCAACTGCTTCAAGGCTGGAGCTGGTGAAGGCACAGAGAAGGAGCTGGCAAAAGCTACAGCTGTGCACTTTGGATGGAGTTGCTTGGAGGTGGCAGGGGAGAAGAAGGCCAGCAAGACCACTAATAGGGTTCCTGTCAACCCACGCAGGAGCGAGGAGCCACAACAACTGAAAAAAAGGAGCCACTCAGAGGCCAGTGAGACATTGCAAGGGACTGGCGCATGGCCCGTCCATAGGAAGTGGTTGGAGCATGGGTGAATGGGGAGACGGGCCCACTGGGGGAACACTGGGGCACAGCAAGGACAGCTGATCTGACCCCCAATCAGTGCAGGACCACTCAGAGAAAACTGGACAGGAATATAGAATTGCAGAGGATGCAGTTTGCTGAAAAGACTCACGCCCAGACCAGAGTTTCCACACAACACAGGTGTACTCATGAGAGCCAGAAGTACCTTATAAAGTCAACCATTAAAACCTGAGCTGCACAAAAAGCCTTCCCCAGGGAATCAGCAGCAAAGCAGCAATTTAGCTCAACCACAGAGTTCAAGTGTTGGTCCCCACAGGAAGTTCCCCCATTTTAGAAGTAGGCAAAAGACAGCAAATTCGTTCCAGAGCAGAGTTTAAGTGGTGGGAACAGCAAACAATCCAACACAGAACTGAAAGAAAAAACAATATACTCTCAGACCAGAGAAAATGTTTGATACTAACTAGTAAAAGTCTCATTTCACCAAAGAACACTTATGAAACCTAGGACCAGAAGTCCCCTGGGCTACCAAGCCAGGGAGCGGGGAGGGCTTGGAGCCTCAGCCATGTCCCTCAACACCCCCAACCAGTCCTGAGGGTGGGGATCTGAACACCTTGGCCATGTCCCCCCAACACCCACAACCAGCCCAGCTACGGCCACCAAGCCACAGCAAGAAGCACCCCAGGTTCCTAAGCTGAGGCACGGGGGGCCGAGGGCTTCAGCCACACCCTGTGACATCTGCACCCAGCCCAGCAATGACTAAGCCACTGCTGGAAGCCCCCTGGTCTTCCCTGAAGTCATGAGGGGAGTGCCATAGGCCTCAACCCTGCCCCTCCTCCTTCCTCCTCCTTCCATCCTATTTCCTTCCCGTTTCTCCTCTCCCTGCTGCAATTGCTCCACAAAAACATCACAGAACATAAAAAATATATCGGGCCAGCCCGTGGCTCACTTGGGAGAGTGTGGTGCTGATAACACCAAGGCCACAGGTTCGAATCCCTATATAAGGATGGCCTGTCAGCTCACTTCGGAGGGCATGGTGCTGACAACACCAAGTCAAGGGTTAAGATCCCCTTACTGGTCATCTTAAACCACCAAGGCCACAGGTTCGAATCCCTATATAAGGATGGCCTGTCAGCTCACTTTGGAGGGCATGGTGCTGACAACACCAAGTCAAGGGTTAAGATCCCCTTACTGGTCATCTTAAAAAAAAGAAAGAAAGAAAGAATGTAAAAAAATGTATATATTAATAAATAAATAAACTTAAAAAAAAAGAAAGAAAGAAAGACAATGGTACCAGCATTGTGGGGAATACATAGGGCAACGGTGGTCCAGAGAATGGAAGGCCAACTAGGAAGCCAGTCTGAGTGAGGTGTGGTGATGACCTGAGCAAAGGCAGTAGCCATGGGACAGAGAGGGGACCTGATAACAAATGTGTGGCACCAGCAGGAAAACAAAGATCATCTGTGTAGGGATAGAGGGCCTTGTGAATCTGGCAGAAGGCTTTTGGAACAGTGATTCTTCTAAGCAGGAAAGAAACATCGAAGTTCAAGGAGGACAGGTTTGGGGAGGCCACTCCTGTAGGGGTTGGGTCTCTAGGGGCTGAGAACACACAAAGGACTTTTGCCATAACCAAATCCTGTACTGAAGCCTCTGCTGGATTTGGCTATTGAGAGCTGCAGCTGATGCCTGTTCTGCTTCTACAAGGGCCTCAATACCAAAACTTGTATCAGAGGCTAGACAGTCACCACTAATCAGCCTATAATTTTTTAGAAAACAGAGAACTTAAAGTATTGTAATGAATAATCTTTCAGAGCAGTGTTTCTCCCCCCACAAGACATTTGGCAATGTCTGTAGACAGTCTGGTTGTCACATCTGCAGAGGATATAAGAGGCTACTACTAGCATCTAGTGGGTAGAAACCAGGGACGTTCCTAAACATCCTACAATGCACAGAACAGCCCCCAACAAAAAGGGTCATCTGGCCAAAAATGTCAACAGTGTCCAAGTTGAGAAACCCTGATTTAAGCATATGTTCTTAAGTGTTCCCTTGTGTTTGAGTTGAAACCTTTCACACATAAGTTTCATGCGGCCCCTCTTCCGGTGGGACTAAATCAGACCTCCCACTGGCTGGCCCCACTTACTTGGTCATGACCATGTAGGGGCCACTGAAGAAAGAGAAGGTGGGCTCGTCGTCAGCTTGAATCACTTCTTTTTCTCCAATTACCGGAAGAGATCCTAGATAGGTGAGCTGTGTGCCCCCTGTGAGATAAAACTGAAACCAAAGCACAGCCTCAAATTGTGGGGAGAAAAGAGGAAACGCAAAATACCTCCAGAATCTTATCAGCCAGGTAAAATAATGAGATCTGCTATTTACCAACTTTCTGAATGCACCTATGCATTGGACATTATTCTTAAATTTTTATTATCTTTTAACCTTCCTAGAAAGAGGTCAGATGCCTGCATGAAGAACCATGGTTGGGACTGAGGAGCCTGCTGTGGCCCTCACAGAACCCAGGCCTGTGTGTAGCCAAAGCCCACATTCCTTCTCTCCCCACCCCCCAGGCTACCTTGGCACAAGAAACAGAGTCAGGAGTGGAGGCCCAGCTGTGAGCAAACATCACTCATGTACCCAGCAATGTTTCCCAACTGTCACTTTCTTTGATGGGCAGAACCAAGGACCCAAAAGTACTATCTGCCCTCAAAACATTTCTCAGTTTAAAATCTCAAGTCCTTAAAAGCATTCCAACCACACTCATAAGCCTGTGGAAGGGCAAGGTCAATCAGGAAGCAGACCCATGGCACAGTTCCCTGCCTCCCTGTTAGGGGAAAATCTGTCTGGGGCCTTCAATGAGAATTAGAGAATCATTTTCTAAACTTCCCCAATCTAGCCCAGGGTCATGCAAGGGAATTCTTCAAGGTTTTCATTTGCCAGTGAGGACAAGAACACTAAGAAATACCTTACCCTCAAAAGGAGTAAAAGAGGTGGAAAAAACCCACTTTGGTGAGGACAGGGAGAAAGGAGTTAGACAAAGGAGTGGGAAATGGGGCCAGGTGATGCTCTGGTTCATCCTGCAAACACAGGCTGTCAGTGGCTACCTCTTACCTTCCCAAAGCCAAAGCTGTAGATATTTTGGGCAGAAATGACTCCAGCTTTCGGCAATCGCTTAGGAGAGGCATTAGGTTTTCTAGAAATATTTAAAAGAGGAAAAAAAGAATAAGAACTAAGAATTAACCACGCATATTCAAAGGATCAATGCTGAATCAAGTTTTCAGAATGTGTAGTTGGTTTTGTCTTTACTACTTGGCTTTTTATCGTGGAACTACAGGATGTAACAGACAGCCTCTTAGAGGGCCCCTGTGATTCTCACCTCCTGGTATTCATGCCCTTGTGTAGCCCCTCACAAGTCAGAAAGGGCTGACCTGTTAATAGGATATTGCAGAAATGATGGAATGTCACTTTTAAGGCTAGAACCACCAGGGCTTCTGCCCTGATCTCTCTTGGATCACTTGCTCTGGCAGAAACCATCTGCCATGTTGTGAGGACCCTCAAGCAGCCCTATGGAGAGGCTCAACAAATGGTACCAGTTTGCTAGCCATGTGAGTGAGGCAATTTGGAACTGGATCCTCTATCCCATTCAAACCTTCAGATGACTGCATCCCTACCTGACATCTTGATTGCAACTTCATGAGAAACCCTTAGCCACAACCACCCAGCTAAGCCATTCCCAATTCCTGACCCACAGAAATTATGTGAGAAAAAAATGTTTATTGTTTGAAGCCACTAAGTTTGGGGGGGTGGGTGACTCATTATGCAGCAATAGATAACAAACACAGATGGTCAGAGCTGGAATGAATCATAAGGCATATCTTGTCCAATGTTCTCATTTTACAGATGGGAAAAATGGAGCCCAGGAGGGAAAAACTACTGGTCTGAGGTCACGGAACACCATCAGAGACCAGACCCTGACACCTCTCATTCCAGCCACTGCTCTTACCACATACCACACCCAAACCACCACCTGCCCACCAGGGCCCCCATTAACTGAAGGGTCTTGGAAAAAGTGCCTATGTCCTTTATTTCTTTGGGTCCCAGAGCTTGGCACAGTGCTATGCATATAGTAGGTGCTCAGTTAATGCTTGCTGATTGAGTAGTTTCAGCTCAGATTCAAAAAAACTCTGCTGCCACCGGAGCAACCTGCCCTTTCTTTTTTTTTTTAAAGATGATCGGTAAGTGGATCTTAACCCTTGACTTAGTGTTGTCTGCACCACGCTCTCCCAAGTGAGCTAACCAGCCATCCCTATATAGGGATCTGAACCTGTGGCCTTGGTGTTATCAGCACCACCCTCTCCCAAGTGAGCCACGGGCTGACTGCAACTTGCCCTTTCTAAGCAAATGGAAAAGGAGCTGATCAGATGTGAATGCTTTCCTCCTATTTTTGGAAGTATTTTAGGCTCTAGTTCCTCAGCAACTCATCAGTAGTTGGGCTGCCCCTTTCCCGCTTTAAGCTTCTGTGCTATTAAAGAGAAGACTCCAATACTTAGACTGAGGTAAAGTTGACCTCCCAATTTATACCTGGTATCCTAGCATCATTATTGATAGCATCCCATTTACTCTCAAAACAGCCAGTATAGCTGGCTATATAATAAGCTATATGGTCACCCTCATTTGAGTAAGCAAACTATATGGGAAAGGCTCCTTTCCTACATCAAATCATCAGTCTCCTCTAGAAGCAAGGCCTACGTGCTTAGGCTTCAAAAGTTTAGGAAACAGTGGGCCATTTCCTACCCAGGGGAACAGACTTTGAACTCTTACTGAGGGTGGGACCACCCCCTGGCAGCAGTGGATCAGGAATACACTGACAAGGCCTCCTGCCTTCCTATCTAGAGACCTCTTGGCAGCATGTGGGGCTCTTTGGAGGGCGAGACTTCTGTTAAAACCAAAGAGCCAACTGTTCTCCAACAGTGACCTGGACAACAACTACAATTCAGACCAATGTTTCTTGCTCTCTTACCTGAATTTCTTAGCCTGTGTCTATGTAACTAAACTCGTCTCAATCAAGGGAAGAAAAAAGTAATTGACCCCAATTATCTACAACTGGACAACCATCTGTTTTTCTCAATTCAGTGCTTTTATTTTCTTTTTCCCATCCAAGCTCTGTGTAAACACACACCTGTGAAATTTTATCCAGTCAAGGATTTGTGTGGTTTCTTTACACTAGAAAAGGGGGAGTGAGAGGGGCTGGCCGGTTAACTCAGAGCATGGTGCTGCTAACATCAAGGCCAAAAGAGAAAAACGAGGGGGGGGGCCCCTGTATATTTCCATTCTATTTTCTTTTTTTTTTTTTTTTTTCCTTTTTGTCTTTTTTCGTGTCCGGCAACGGATCGCAACCCTCAGTGTCGCGCCCGTACCGGACCGGGACCGGCAACGGGATCGCAACCCTCGGTGCTGTGCCTGCACCTCGCTCAGCCAGTGAGCGGCCGGTCTGTATGTGGGATCCGAACCCTCGGTGGTAGCGCCGCCGCGCTCCCAGGTGGCGCACTGTAGCAGTGCGCCACCGGGCCGGCCCTTCCATTCTATTTTCCATTAAGCATTCCATTAACCCCATGGTAAGAATGTTTCATCTAATTATAAAATAGATAATGGCTGGCCAGTTACCTCAGTTGGTTAGGGCATGGTGCTGATAATGCCAAGGTCAATAGTTCAGATCCCCACACTGGCCAGTTACCCCTCCAAAAAAACAAAAAAAATAGACGCTATGTCTAGATTAGTAACTAGGACTTTAAAAGTTTATCAACACTTTAACTTGGGTTTTCCTTTCAGGCTGGCCCACAAACTTACTACTCCCCTTGTACTGAGCCCTGACCGTGTACCAGGCAGCCACGGGTTAAGTAATGGTGAATGAGACAGACACAGTCCCTGCCTGCCCTCGGAGTTCTTAGTTTAATTGGAAAAACAGAGAAGAAAATATACAAAGAAACTAATTACAAACTGTGACAAGTGTCTCTAGACTCTGAACAGGGAGGAGAAATCCATGCAAGGGCAAGGGGCAGGGGGGCAGGAGGTGAGGTGGGAAAAGTGGAAGGGGTTGGACCAGGCAGGGCCTCCAAGGCCAGATGAGGGATTTAGAAGTTTATCCTGATGGCCATGAGGAAAATCCTAAAGAGTTTTTTTTTTTTTTTTTTTTTTTAAAGATGACCGGTAAGGGGATCTCAACCCTTGGCTTGGTGTTGTCAGCACCACGCTCAGCCAGTGAGCAAACCGGCCATCCCTATATAGGATCTGAACCCCCAGCCTTGGTGTTATCAGCACCGCACTCTACCGAGTGAGCCACGGGCCGGCCCTCTAAAGAATTTTTAACCAGAGAGTGGCATAATCGATTTCCATTGTAAAAAGGTCATTCTGGATGCTGAGTAAACCAAGACTGGAAAGAGTGGCTGCATAGTAGTTAGGAGTAACTAGTCATCAAGGGGATCATTAACTCATCTCGCCTGAGAAGCCAGCAGCATCCAGGTCATCAGAGGAAAACCAGGACTCAAAGTGCATGAAGAACAGGACAAGGGAGCCTGAAACAGTGTGACAAATCCAGCCACCCTGATTACAGAGATACCATCGGAGAAAATCAAAATGGAAAGAATTTTCCGCTTACAAACCCTAAGTCAATAAAGCCCAGAGAATAACTCCCCTGTGCCAAGCTTATCCCTGAACATGGAGAGAAGCCTGGGGCCCACCTCCTGTAGCTATGACAGTGAGACAGAGGACTGTGCAATCAGCTGGCGTGGCTAGTTACTTGCACCAGCTTAAAACAGGCTGAGAAACTTTAAGTTAAGCATTTGTGGACTTTTGCAACCTTAGTTATAAAGAACATTCTTTCCATGGTTCAAGATAAAAAAGTCAGCCAGCTGCCCTGCTGGGTAAGGGTTTTCTGCTGGGCTCCTCAGACCAAAGAAGTTCCTCCTCTGCTAACCATAAGGTGATTCTTTTTTTTTTTTTTTCCTTTTTGTCTTTCTTTCGTGTCCGGCAACGGATCGCAACCCTCAGTGTCGCGCCCATGTCCGGCAACGGATCACAACCCTCAGTGTCGCGCCCATACCGGGCCGGGACTGGCAACGGGATCGCAACCCTCAGTGTTGCACCTGCACCTCGCTCAGCCAGTGAGCGGGAACCGGTCTGTATGTGGGATCTGAACCCTCGGCAGGAGCACCGTCGCCCCATAAGGTGATTCTTAGTGGAGCCCACACTCACTCACCCCAAACCTTCCGGGGGCAGTGGGGAAAATGGCCAAAGGTGCTCCTCCTACTGTCCTTTGTCAGAGTGGCCATGTCTTTTTCTGAGCTCACTCCCTGTGTGGGCCAGATGTCGGAGGGTGCCGATGTGGAGGAGACTGAGGCAGCCCATGCTTCAAGGCTCCCACAAGAAGGGCTAGGTGATCCCACTCTGCTTAAAGCAGTACTCACCCCTGCACGAAGCCCCCAAACCAGGGAGGGCTGCAGATGAGCCGCTGAGGAGAGTCTATCTTCTTTAGGAGGTCATAAGAGAAGCCCTGGATGATGGCCTGCATGTGCGAGGCGCAGCGCTGCATGAACTCCACCATCTGCAACATACCACAGAGATGCTCAATGCTAGTCACACCAGCTTCCAATGGGAATGGAAGCTTGGGGGTGAAGATGAATGGTCTAAGGAGCCAAGAGCCCCCAGTGGGAAATCTCTGGAAAGGAAAGGGCCCAGGTGATTTTCTAAAGATATGGAATGTTCTTAGGGAGAGGATCTGGAGATAATTTCCTCCAACTCTCTCCTTCAACAGATGAGGAAACAGCTTGGGAGGAGTGAAATTACTCGTCCAAGGCCCAACAGCTAATGAGCAGGACAATCAGAGGTAGGGAAGAAGATGTTGCACATGGAGGTGCCTCGCACTGTGTACCTTTGTGTTTTACATTTGTTATATTTAGTCCTCATTAAAACATATCATGGGGCTGGCCAGTTAGCTGATTAGAGTGTGGTGTTATAACACCAAACTCAAGGGTTTGGATCCCCATGCTGGCCAGCCACCAAACAAACAAACAAATAAAACACATCACACCTGCCAGTATGCGGCTGTAGGCAAGTTATTTCATGTCAATGGACCTCAGTTTCCCATCTACAGAATGGGGATAATAATAGTATCTACCTGAGAGTTTGTTGTGAAGATTAAATGAGTTAATATATAAAAAAAACATTTAGAACAACGTCTGATTTATAAGTGCTAGTTAAATGAGTCAGATAAAATTGCAGTTGTTCTCCTTCATCATTGGACAGATGCCTAAAAAAGGCTCACTAAACTTGCCAGAGGTTTTACAGCTAGTTAACCTGCTTCAACCCAGGCCTGTGTGTCCAGTACCAATGCTAAGCTGCTGCAAGCGCTGTACTGCCCCCTGGGATCCCGACTCTCAGCCCAGTGCTCTTCCACTGGCATGGCTGTAGAGTGGGACCCACCCTTACCAGGGTGCTGCGTTCCTTCCTTGCTGTCAAGGCCCAGGTCTGCGGATTTCGACCCTTCTCGTCATGGAGTCGCAGGTCACCTCCTGCATCCAGGAGTTTGCTGAGGATCCACTGATTGCCTGAAAATGCTGCTGCATGGACAGGGGTGCTCCCATCAAAGCAACGGCTGGGGGTGGGGGAAATGGGTACAGTGAACGTACATGTTGACACTCCTTCCTTCCATAAAGAAGGGATTCAGGGCCGGCCCGTGGCTCACTTGGGAGAGTGTGGTGCTGATAACACCAAGGCCACGGGTTCGGATCCCATATAGGGATGGCCGGTTCGCTCACTGGCTGAGCGTGGTGCTGACAACACCAAGTCAAGGGTTAAGATCCCCTTACCGGTCATCTTTAAAAAAAAAAAAAAATTAATTAATCTGCTTATTTTTTCCCTGGGAGGCAATATTAGATCAATGATTTTCATACATTTTTGAAGTATCTCACATTAAGACATATGTTTTACATTGTGACCTAGTACATATATACACATATAACTGAAAAATATCATGAAATAATGTTTACTCTCTACATGTTCTTGGCTAATTTTCTGTTCTATGCTGAAATCTTTAAAATTTCTGGTCATGATAAACTAAATTGATTTGACAACCCATTAAATTGTTGTAACCAGTGGTTGGAAATACTGGTATAGGGTTGAGAATACAAGACCTGGGTTTGTAATTCTGCTCCAAGCTTGTGTTTTTGTTATCTTACCATGTCTCATCTTTCTTTTTTTTTTTTTTTAAAA